AGAAGAGTTATCTAACTGCTTTAACTCAATTATCTTTGGCTACAAATGTCAAGGACAAGGGTGGCATCAGTCCAATGTTGGACAGGCAGTTGCTGGGTAGATGTCCTCATAGAATTATGGTGTGTATAAATAAATAAATAAACACACACATACACACACACATACACACAAACACACACACACACATAAATATATGTGTATGTGCGTGAAGTTGCATTGGAGTTTACATATGGTTGTGGTTTTTGCAGAGTCTTTTGTGATAATTCATGTGTGAGAACCCAAACTTCACGGCCTTTCTCAGCTTCATTTGTTAGGGCTTGACACAAGTGACTCCATTTTCATTCTGACAGCTTTCATATTTCTCCTTTTTGATCAAGTTCTTTCTCCAAATCATTGTTGATCAATCAACTTGTAGTTAACATTTGATTGTCTCTGGGTACCAGGATGGACCTCTCTGAGTGTGTTGGCTATTTCCACATCACTGGCGACTAGAAATGAGTGTCAAAATCCATTTATTACAGTTGAGCAAAAGGGAATATCTGCAGGAAGTAGTTCTTAGCCTAAGTCTACCTGGAGTCCCTTGTTATATTCAAGTTTTGTTTGTTCCACAGATATTAGCTATCACAACAAAATGCTGGACCAGCCTTATTCTGTTAGGACTTCTACTTCTGCAGAAGTATAAGTAACAGAATGGTGAAACCCTCTCCATGTCAAAAAAAAAAAAAAAAAAGAGATTATTGTTAAATATAATATTCCTTTTTTGTCTTCTTGGTCGGTTTTCCCCAGCCAGAGTGTAGGTTCTGCTTGGTTGTCTGCTGTATCCCTATGCCTGGAACGGTACCTGGCTTTGGCTGGTATGCCAAAAATGTTTCTGGAGTGCCTCCCTCCAACTGGAGAGCTAACAGCTTCCTGGCAGGGACCAGGTCTTGTATGTCTCTGTCTGCTGAGGCAACCAACCCAGTGACTTTGCCAGAGGAGTTGTTTGACATTGCATACTGAGGCTTCACAGAACTTAGTTGTAACAGTGGCTCTGGCTCCTCTGCAAAACACTTCCTGGCACTGCAGCCACAGAGGCTGGTTTTTAGGATGGTTTTGCATATGTCGCTTGTCTAGCACAATCAGCATCTTCGTACACACTGCCCTTTTGTCTGTACTGTGTGTCTCAACTCATATCTCTGTGTAGCACTGTGATGTGTTCTGTGCGTTGGATTAGGCATTAGAGGAGACTTGACTTGACAAAAGCTCTTATGGAATAGTGAAATGGTTTTAGGGTCTGCAATCAGAGAGCTTGGATTTAAATCCTCACTTGGCTACACACTGGTTTTGTTTTTTAGTTTTTTGGGACGGTCTCACATTGTCATCCAGGCTGGAGTATAGTTGTACAATCATAGCTCATACAGCCTTGAACGCCTGGGCTCAAGCAATTTTTCCACCTCAGTCTCTCAGTCAGGACTACAGGCACATGCCACCACATCCAGTTAAGTTTTTGATTTAGTTTTATTTTTTGTAGTGACAGGGTCTTAATATGTTGCCGTGGTTGGTCTTGAACTTCTGGGTTCAAGCTGTCTTCCTGCCTGGGCTTCCCAAAGTGCCGGGATTATAGGCTGAGCCACTGCATGAGGCCTGCTTATACTGGTCTTCCTGTCATTGGTCAAAAGTGGTTTTCGTTGTTTCTGAGCCTCCTCAATTCCTCTTTTGAAGGAGGTGAAGTATAAACAATTGAGTAAATTCCCAGCTGGTTTATCTGAGTTTCTGGGTCATTATCAATAAAATGAAGATGATAATATGCTTACTTCATGGAGTTGTGAGGATTAATTTTGTTTGTGGGAAAACATTTTGTAGATTATTGTGTTAGTTACCTGTTGCTATATAACTACCCCAAAACATAGCAGCCTAGCCTAAAAAGATAATTATTTATCATCTCACTGTTCCTGTGGGTCGGGAATTGGGGAGCCCCTTAGGTGAGTGGTTCTGGCTCAGAGTCCCATAAGATCACACTCACACTGTTGAATGGCACAGCAGTTATCTGAAGGCTTGACTGGGGCTGGAAAGCCTGATTCCAGCATGGCCCACTCACTTGGCCGTGCTGGGAGGCCTCGGTTCCTCATAGTGGACCTCTCCCTAGGACTGCTTGAGCATCCTCATAGCTTAGCAGCCAGCCCTCCCCATAGGGAGTGAGCCAAGAGAGAGAGACCAAGATGGAAGATGCAGTGTCTTTTATGACCTAGTCTCAGAAGGTCCACACTGTCACTTCTTCATTGATTTGTTAGAAGCAAGTCACCAAATCTTGCCCACACTGAAGGGGAGAAGAATTGGGCTCTATCTATTGAAAAGACTGTCAGCCGGGTACAGTGGCTCATGTCTGTAATTCCAGCACTTTGGGAGGCTGAGGTGGGCTAATCACAAGGTCAGGAGTTCAAGATTAGCCTGACCAAATGGTGAAACCCTGTCTCTACTGAAAATACAAAAATTAGCCATGCGTGGTAGTGGGCACCTGTAATTCCAGCTACTCAGGAGGTTGAGGCAGGAGAATCACTTGAACCCGGGAGGCAGAGGTTACAGTGAGCCAAGATTGAGCCACTGCGCTCCCACCTGGGTGACAGAGTGAGACTCCATCTCAAAAAAAAGAAACTGTCAAAGAATTTGTGGACATATTCTTCTACAATCCTTTTACCTCAGTCTCTCAGTTAGTTAAGACTAGACCTAATTAAGGACCACCACAACCATAGAACACCACAAGAATGTAATTAATCTTGCTAGCAGAGTTATAATTCGTGCACTCTTGGGCAAGCTAGATGCATTCTCTTCATCTGTCAGATTGAAGAAAGCACAGTGTTCCAGATCCTTTATGCCTGCTGGATTCTGTTGTATCTGTTGATTGATTGAGTCATAGCTAATTTATGGATATTCTTTTCTATCCAGCTAGACCATAGGCTCCCTGCAGTCTCAGACTATGTCACAGATTTCTGCTGCATCCTGTTACAGTGAAGCTTGTTTTTTTTTTGAGATGGAGTCCTGCTCTGTCACTCAGGCTGGAGTGCAGTGGTGCCATCTCGGCTCACTGCCACCTCCACCTCCTGGGTTCAAGCAATTCTGCTTTAGCCTCAGCCTCCCAAGTATCTGGGACTACAGGTACCCACCACCACACCCGGCTAATTTTTGTACTTTTCGTAGAGATGGAGTTTCACCATGTTGACCAGGCTGGTCTCAAACTCCTGATCTCAAGTAATCTATTCAGCCTCCCAAAGTGCTGGAATTCCTGGCATGAGCCACTGCACATGGCTCAAGTGAAGTTTTTTAAAAGTGGTGTCTGTTTGTAGTGGTAAGAATATGATTCCAGAGTTTTACTCCTCCACAGAACTGGTGAAGTGAGGGAGAAGAGTTGGGATGTTGGAAAATGTAATGGACCCGGGCCAGGCAAAGTGGCTCAAGCCTGGATCCCAGTACTTAGGCGGCTGAAGCAAGAGTCACTTGAGTCCAAGAGTTTGAGAACAGCCTGGGCAACCTGGTGGGACCCCCATCTCTATAAAAAAAAATTTATAAATTAGCTGGGCACAATGGCCCACACCTGTAGCCCCAGATACTTGGGAGGCTGAGGTGGGAGGATCACTTGAGCCCAGGAGGTCCAGGCTGCAGTGAGCTGAGATCCTGCTACTGCACTTGAGCCTGGGTGATAGAGGGAGAACCTGTCTCACAAAAAAAAGAAAAAGAAAAAAAAAGATAGTGAACCTGGCTTTAAATGCATTTAGTCTGAGGTACTTAAAGATGATTAAATGGAGCTACTCTGAAGCCTGTGGAACTTTGAAGGGAGCAAGGAAAGTTGAACGGTGTCATTTGCAAAGTAATAACAGCTGAAGTGAAAAGAATGAAATTGCCAAGGGAAAAGTGAAGAAACAGGAAAGGGTGAGGACAGAGTCTTGATCTTGGGGGAGGAAGAGGAAAAAGTAAAGAAGACCTGTGCCAGATGGACAGGAGGCAACATAGTTAAGGGAACCAAGCAAGAGAAAATTCTAGAAAGACGATCTGACCTTTTAAAGAGATCAGAAATGGTGAGGATTTCAACAGAAGGTCGCTGATGATCTTCCAGGGTGTGGTTTCAGACAATGGAGGGTACAGAGGCAGAGTCTAAGGGGTAAAGAATGAGTAGATCATGAAGAGGGGAAAACAGAATGTGCGTCTCCAGAAGTTCCCAGTGAAGTGGGACGGCAGAGTGAGCAGAGGGAGCAGCGTTGAGGGAAGGTTTTTCTGAGGTTGGAATGACCCTGAAGGGCAGGAGCTGGTGGAGAGGGAGAAACTGTCAATGTAGATGAGGAAGGATTGTTTGGATTAAGATTCACAGGCAGGGGGTGGAGGACAGGTGAAGGCCACATACCAGCAGCCTTGGATTTGACAAGGAGAGGGGCAAGGAAGGAGCTTGCTGGCGCCTACCTGAGATCAAAGACAGACAGATGTGGGAGGTCACTTACAGGTCTGGGAGAATGTAACGTTTGAAACAAGCCTCCCAGGGAGCATAGCAAGGTGTCAGCAAGAGATCAACAAGAAGCTTCTGAAGCTGCCATGAGACAGCGGTATGAATTGGTGGTGGATGTCTTCTGCGGAGTTCCAGCAACAGAGAATTCAAATAAAGAAAGGGGGCTGGGTGCGGTGCCTCATGCCTATAATCCCAGCACTTTGGGAGACCGAGGTGGGCGGATTACAAGGTCAGGAGACTGAGACCATCCTGGCCAACATGTTGAAACACTGTCTCTACTAAAATACAAAAATAAATAAATAAATAAATAAATAACTGGGTGTGGTGGAACCCCATCTCTACTAAAATAAAAAAACAAAACTGCTGGGTGTGGTGGTGCACACCTGTAGTCCCAGCTGCTTGGGAGGCTGAGGTAGGGGAATCACTTGAACCCATTAGGCAGAAGTTGCAGTGGGCTAAGATCACACCACTGCACACCAGCCTGGTGACAGAGCGAGACTCTGTCTCAAAAAATAAAATAAAATGAAGAACAGGATCTGTATTAATTTTTCCTGGTTGGGGCTTTGCCTGCATCTGGTGGAAGGTCCAGGAATTAAAGGTTCTAGTTCTGACTGGAAAGGTGGATGGTGAGTTTTCAGTCCATACAGATGGGGCCATGGCGCTGAGGTGTAGGCACCGCACCTGCGCAGGGCACCCTCAGTTGCAAGCACCTGGTAAAAGGGCTGACATTTCTAACTTACATAACGGTGCTACCCGCTCACCATGCTGAGTAGGGGTAGCTGTGCTCCTGACTTGGCTGGCTGTTTCTAATTCACCCCCAGGTGCCATACAGGCCAGCTTTGGCCCTGTAAATGCAGATTTGTGATGACGGGATGGGGGAGGACTGAGGGGTTGGATTTCAGACTGAGAGTGAAAGGCTGGTTTAGTCAGAATGCAAAAGTGGTAAGAGGGAAGGCTGTATGTCCACAGAAGGAAGTTCAGTTATTAAAATCATGGAAGTGAAATGATTTTGGGCAATTCGGTCCAAGTTGAGGTCGTGCTGGTGAGTGGCTGAAGTGAGTGTGGATGAGGATCTTTGCAAACTGAAATCAGCTTTCTGTAACTGATCCCAACACACTTGTCATCGGTCTGACAAGTGACCGACACCACGCAATGGCTCGGGCTGCAGTGGGGCTTCCTGGTGTTGGCACTCACTGAGCAGCACACTCAAGTTCTTATTGATTCTCTACTGTGTGCTCCTTGATGATCAAGTTAGAGCAGTGAATGAAGTTGACGCAGGTCCTGAACCTTAGCACAGGCCTTTAGATTTTACATGTGTTGCCTACAAAGAGGTAACTGTGTACACAGAGGTGACCTGACCTGAAATACAGGTTTGGTAACCAGGTTTTACTCTACTTGGCTCACGGATACCCACTCTGAGAACCTGCCACCCCTCTGTCACCGTGAATACCAAAAGAAGCACACTGACTGCTCTTTACCCTCGGGTATCCAGTTGTCCTAAAAGAAATAATAAAGGAGGTGGCTAAATGCTTTTTCTAAAATGGCAGAGTTGACCATCCATGTTATTGAAAGCACAAGAAGGTCCAGGACAGAGAGGACTGATTCCATTGAGATGGATGTTCAGGACTGGGGAGCCACGGAGAGCAACGGCCGGGCTCTGGCGGGGAGTGGGTCCTGTGGCCCGCAGGAGAAGGGGAGGTGGCGGGAAGGAGCAGGCAGGAGGCACTAGATTAACCCGCTTGTTGGCTCAGGTTCCAGTGACTTTTGTCGACATTGCTGTGTACTTCTCCGAGGACGAGTGGAAGAACTTGGACGAATGGCAGAAGGAGCTTTATAACAACCTTGTTAAGGAGAACTACAAAACCCTGATGTCCCTGGGTAAGGACACCCTCTCTTCGGTGAGCCCTCTCTGCAGAGAGTTGTGAAATGCTTGTCAGTCCACGTTAACACCGCCGGGGCAGGTTGTTTCATGTTTTTACATAATGGAAACTCAGGAAAACTTTTGCTTACAATGCTAGTAGGATAGAACAGTTTACAGTAGGATAAAAATGTAAAACCCAGTAACAGGGCCCATTGCCATAGAATTCAGCATTACGCCCCTACCACGCTGGATTACAGTAACAGCATGTGCACCTCACCATGCACCACATCCCAGCAGCCCAGGGTAAGCCATAGTTGGTCTGATGCTGGCTTCCAGAGACCAGGTCTTTCTACAGTAGAAACGTAGGAATCTATCAACTCATTTTCAAGGTTCTTTATAAGAGATTACCCACCTAACTCACATAACCGCTGAAGAGGGACACTCAGGTGAAGGGGGTGTTGGGGTAGCGGAGAGTTCTCCCGTCCCCTTGCTGGACGCGTTGGTCAACTTCACACAGTCCTTCCTTCCTTCCTCCTCACTTGCAGATGCGGACGGCCCAGTCCCCAAGCCAGATGCCCCCGCCCAGGCTGAGCCCAGGGAAGAGCCGTGTGTGTGGGAGCAGCGCCACCCCGAAGAGAGAGAAATCCCAATGGATCCTGATGCAGGTGATGGCAATGGAAGCAAGTGTGGGGTCCAGGGAAGCGGGGAGAGGAGAACCGGCTGCCCACATGCTGCTGTGGGAGGCACCGCTGTGTGTGCACCACGGGGCGAGGCTCTTGGGTGGTTCCCAGTGGCCAGTTCGGCTGGAGTTGAAATTTGGTGGTCACTTACAGGAAGAGATCTCTGGGCTCAAAATAGCACCATGGATTTTTGTCTTTGGGTTTGTTAAAGCCGCATAGCTCTGGACTCACAGGTAAGCTGAGTGGAGAGACAGGAAGGGCTTAGGCTAATGCTATCGCCCAGGCCTGATGTGGAACTGCAGAGAGGGGCCCCAGGCCTGGGCTCAGAGAGGCTGACAGAGGAGGTGAAAAGGAGTGTGAGGCAGATGCGGGGTTTCGCCCTCACCATTGCTTAACGCTTGGCCTAACATGCAGTATCATCACCTCATTCTTCGGCCAACACACGCGGCTCACCTGTAGGCTCACCCGGCAAGGCTCTGGCCTCACCCGAGAAGGAATCTTAAGCCTGAGGAAACTGGGGCCCTGAGCACATCACACTTGATGAGCTCTTTTTTTTTTTTTTTTTTTT